AGGAGAGTTTGAGAAGCTGCAGAAAGAAAGCAGAATCACCCGCAAAAGAACCTCGAGGTACCATCCCCAGAGCGACAGCCTGACTGAGACATTTGTGCAAACCGTAAAAAGAGGGCTACGGGTGCGGAGATAACTACTACAATGGGAGCTAGACTACGGAAAGGCACGGTTGTGGGAGTGATCGTAGCGTTCCTTGCATGTTTGCTCGTGTTCTCTCTTCGCACACATTCACGGGGATGGCAAGAGTTTCACTAGTAAAAGTTCACAACAATGATAGCAACAACATTAGCAAAGTTGACTACATCAGGAAGCAAGTCTGCCTAGCATGCAAGCTGGTCAACTGCCAGCGCAGCATGGTCGACTGCGTTCCAGCACGGCAAGGTCGACCGCACTCCAGCAGTGCAAAGTAGCGGCCTCCCAACTTTGCAAGTCGACGGCGTGTCATCGCTGCAGCAAGGCGGCTGCACAGCGTTGTACCCGCATGACAGCAGCGCACCCGCTTCGCAGGTGCTCGCAGCTGGTTGGCGTGCTATGCCCCGTCACGTGCACAGCGCAGACGCTGAGTCGTCCACGTGCTGTTGACTGCACCTGATCAGCCACGTCAACCTCGGGATACCACCTCCGAGGTTGGCTTCGCTAGGATCACCTGGGCGACTGTCGCGCACCTCCGCAGATCCCTGTTTCCCGGGTAATTTGGTTGACTGGGCAACCACGTTGGCCAAGTGCTGCTCCTCGTGCCCGTCGATCACGAAGTTGGCCACTCCCTCCAGGTCGACCACTTCTGGTCGACCAGACCAACTGTCCTCCGACTTCACCAAGTCGGCTAGCCAGGCCGGCATCACCAAGTCGACGCCCTCCTCAGGCCGACTTCGCCAAGTCGGCCTCTCTCCAAGGTCGGCGCCCCCCCCAGGTTGACATCTCCCCTCGTCGACCACCGGGTTGAAGTCGGCCGCCGGCTCCCTGAAGTCGGTGGCTTCGCAGTGGCCCCGCGCAGGTCGACCAAACCCGTCGACCTGCTCGCCTAAGTCGGCGTCGCACACTGCGGCAGGTCGGCTGCACCTCCCGTACACCCGACTATGAAGTCGGCTCCGCCCAAGCGAGGGAGGGGCCAACACAACTCCCGTTGACAACGGGCATACGGAGAGAGATTTAAGAGACTGGGATGCCCGCCTAACTTGGGTAGCGGCGGGGTGTCGATTCAGCAAGCAAGCAGCTCTCAAAGACCTATCACCGTACTATCTGCTGCTAGGGAGAGAGCCCATACTGCTAGTGGATGCACCTAGACTACTGATAGGAGTGGTGACGGTGGACTCGGAAGAAAGTTGGGTGGGGCTAGCAGAAGCACGAGCGAGGTACCTGAGGGAACTCCTACCAGCAGTCCTGGAAAACCTGCACGTAGCACAACTGAGAGATGCCCTGAGATACAAGAAGAGGAAAGAGGAAGAGCTACGAGGAAAGAGAAGGAGCTGGGAGTGGGGGAAAAGGTCTACCTGAAGCAAGCTATACACGACATGATGGACATAGGACTGAGCACTGAACGGTGGAGAGTAAAGGAAGTGAAGGAATCTGGGGTGGTGGTTCAAGTGAGTGAGAAATGACAAGAGAGGCAGGACCACCGGACCAATGTGGCTAGGGCCAGGCCAAAGAAGGGAGATGAGGAAAGGGGCCAGGTAGAAGCAGGAAGAGAGCAGCAGCAGCCCTCTCAGGAGAAAGTCCATCGGCGGACAGGAGAGAGAGAGAAGCTGAGGAGGGGGCAAGTGACTGAGGCTGCTGAGAAGACCAAGGGGATGCACAGAGAAGTAAGAGCTCTGATGGGGTGAGGAGGCAAAGTGCAGGAAGGGGAAGCGGTGGGACAAGAGCAGAATGAAGGGAGAAGACCTACCACAAGAAGAGTTCCGACACGTGTTGTATTTTTAATTGCAGGAGTAGTAACAAATAATATAAAAAACAAGACAAGTAAGATGTATAGGAGAACCTTGTAGAGAATATGGCATCGGGCGGGACCCAAGTGAATCAGGCGAAATGTTGGTTCCGTTGCAAAACAACGGTAATCAGTACGTTGAGTACTTAGGCAAGAGCCAGAAGAGTAGTGCCTTGCTCGAGTGTTTGTTTTCATATCTAGCTTAAGTGAGCCTAATTCTATCCTTGCGCCAAGCACCCGGAGAAGCCAACCTTCGCAAGCCAGTAAGGCACTAGTGTGTTATCAGAGAGTCTGCCAAGTTAGTGTACTGTGGAGGAATGATACAGCCCGCCAGAGCACAGCTTATTAACCTGTGCCTGAGGCTGCTGAGAAGACCAAGGGGATGCACAGAGAAGTAAGAGCTCTGATGGGGTGAGGAGGCTAAGTGCAGGAAGGGCAAGCGGTGGGACAAGAGCAGAATAAAGGGAGAAGACATAGCACAAGAAGAGTTCCGACAACGTGCATGTTTACACTTGCTAGGTTGTGAACAGTGTACTATCATTGCTATTATAACTCAGCATGTGAACTGGCCTTGTAGCCGCTTGCTTGTGCTTGGACCGCATGGTGATCTTCATATCCACCCTGAGCTTTGCTTTGTTTGTTTCTCTTGACCTGTCTTGCCACCGCTTGTTGTTCCCCACTTCGCATATGGGGGTGTGTCAAAGTATGCACATACCGTATCCTCCCGGACAAAACACCCCCCCTGTAATAGTACACCTACGGGTAGCTTGTGCGAGGTGGGTGCTATAGTCGACCTCGTTTGTACTATACCCCCCCTTTTGGGGTAATTTTCTACAACACTCCCTTTTTCTTACAGATTCATATTTTAGCTGTTATCGAGTCAGATTCCTTACGGGAGGATATCTCGAGAATCGCTCCCTAGATGAAATTTCGCGTGTACTTTCACTTAGAATCTGCCGACATTTCCCCCCGCCCACAATCGCGCTGTCGCCACGCTGGCGAATCTTCCGCTGCAAGTGGACATTTCCCCCCTCCCACATTCTCGCTGTCGCCACGCTGACGAATCTTCCGCTGCAAGTGGCGCGAGAGGTGAAACTCACATTCTCGCCAAAACTCACATTCTCGCCTCAAACTGTGATGCTGAAACGACCATTGAATCACCCAAATTGTCTAATTAAAAAAAAACTCTTACACTAAAATATGCCATATATAACCACCCGGGTATTATGTAGGATTTTCCGTTGAGAGGACCCCCCCCCCCCCCCCCCCCCCACCCCCTTTTTTTCCCTGTGGTTATCATAATACCCCCGGGTGTTATGTCCGGGAGAATACGGTATGTTACTGTAGGCTATACTGGGGTACACCATAGAGGGGATAACCCATTGGGGTTTCATACTTGTTTCTCCATCATTCCTAGTCAATCCACTCCGCTGTACTATTATTCTGACAGTCACATCGTCAACAACCCATTTTTTTTCAAATAATTCATTTATAACCTCCGTTATCCTTGTGTATCACTCGCTTGGCTCTCAAAACGTCGTACACCAGACGTTATTACAGCAAGAAATAGGGTGTATCTGGTTTGTGCTGGAGCTGCGAAGGACAGGGGGGTAAAAACTATTATAACATCACCCCCTGATCCCAACAGTTCATTTTTAGCGTAAAACACCACTAACAAGTCTGATTCGTACATCAACTTGTGTAGAATGCAAAATCCCTTATTGAGACGCATTCAAGCGAGCCTTAGATAGCGTTCACCCATTTGCGATTCAGATCGCTCGCTGATGCAGGCGCATGCGAGTGAATTGTTACAAACTCGCATACCTGCAAGCAACCACTTCCTCACCGCTCTGGTTGCCATCCGTGCCCATCCCGATCGCCACTCTCATCCACTCTATCCTAGCTCCTGTCCTACATCGCAGTCGGAGAGCGTTAGTGGATAGGATGTTCCTTCCTGCCTGATTTGCGTGTGTTGTCAACCATCCGATCATGGGCTTCGAGTAACTTAGTGCATTTCAGTTGTGAAACCCGCGCACTCGTAACAGTGATACTACGCTTGTAATAAGTTGCCTACACAAGCCTCGCGATAAAACCTCAAGTGTACATGTATCCGCATGGTTGTTAAGCATTGTTGACCCGGAAGCACTGCTCTCAACAATGTTAGAGCAATACATCAGAAGGGTTTGCGCGTCAGCTTCTTTCCGACGAAGGGTGGCGGAAATAGTGGCGCCAGCGAGAGCAGTAGCGAGTGGCGGCGGCAACAGGGGTGGCGCGATCCGTGTGGTAGAGGCCGCAGGTGCCATGCCGTCCACATCGGTGCTTCCAGCGGCGCTGCTGACGGCACAGGCTGCGCCAAACACAACGCCCGCTGCGATGATGGGACGAGTGGCCCTTTTGGGGATTCTACGTGACACTGAACGGCCGCGTGGCGGAAGAATAGGTCCCGACGCTTTATTGGGTCGTGGGATTGTGAGTACAGCTGCTGCTAGAGGAGGCAGGATTGAGGGTTTTGGGAAGAGGGGAGGAGACGAGGGAGAAGGGAGAGAGGAGGGAGGAAGTGGGGAGGCGAGAGAGGAGGGGGCAGGGGGAGAAGGGAGAGAGGAGGCGGGAGAGGGAGGGAGAGAGGAGGTGGGGGGGGGAGGAGGAGGGACGGTGCTGTGGCATGTGAGCGGGGGGCGCATTGCGCCAGGTACGGCCATGTGCACGCACTTGCTCGCTCGCTGCTGCTGCACGCACGCACCGCGACTCCCGCACAAACCGCCTCTCCTGCAGTTCGTTCATCCCCTACTGCTCCCCTTATAAGTCCCGCCATCTCGTCCGCACCCTCTCCCGAATACCCCTCCTCACCATCACTCTCCCATTACCCCTCCTCACCATCACTCTCCCATTACCCCTCCTCACCATCACTCTCCCATTACCCCTCCTCACCATCACTCTCCCATTACCCCTCCTCACCATCACTCTCCCAGCACCCCTCCTCACCATCACGATCCCAGCACCCCTCCTCACCATCACGATCCCAGCCGTTACCGTGTCAAGCCCAGTACCCCTCCTCACCACCAATATCCCAGCCGTTACCATGTCAAGCCCATACGCACCTCTTCTCAAGTGGCTCCACCGCCCGGCCGCTCGCCCCTCCCACCAGCGCGGCCACCCTGTCTTTCCTCTCCTAGGCATTGGGCCCTTCCTGCCTCACTGCCCCTCCCTCCTCGCACGCCCAATTGTTTTTCCCACCCGCCCTTGCTTCCCGTTTCCTAACAGGTCGCGCCCTCATCTCGCTGCATGTACCCCGCGCCATACCCGCGGCCCCCACGCATCCCTCCTCCACCTCCTCTCCCTCCTCCTCACCCTTCCCCCGCAACCCTGTGCATGTGGCGAGGGATGAGGTGGGGGTTGAGGGCGCGGCGGGGGAGGGCGTGGCCAGGGAGGGCGTGCGTGTGCGGGTGAGGGGCAGCGCAGTCGATCTGGCGTCCATGGGGGGGCTCTTCCTCAGAGAGCGGGTGAGGCTGCTGTATTTCAATCAATCATTCTGTAGCTTCTGAGTGCTTCACAGAGAAATGTCGTGTGCTCAGATCCGCTTGCAACGACTGTGCTCTGCTGCGCATGCAATGCAAGCGAGTGTTCCGAGTTCATCCCGCATCGGACTCCTCTTCTGCATCGCACCCATCCGCCCTCTCCCCTCAATGCCTTCCTTCTCTTCGTACCCACTCTCCATTCTTCTCCCCTCCTGATTGGCAGGTCAGCTGGGGCCAGGAATGGGTGGACCAATTGCGAGCTGACACGTGGATGCATGCCTTCAGCTTCACCGGAGCACAGCAGCAGGAGGCAGGGAGGGAGAGGCAGGGTTGGGATGAGGGTGGCGACAGGGGCAACAGCGACAAAGATGTGAAGAGCGGAGGGGTCAGTGCTGCAGGTTATGCTGGTGCTGCACCACAGGAGAGGGACACTGGGAATTCAACGGCAGAGGGGGAAAGTGCTGGGACTGCAATGCGAGAGGGAGGGAGTGCAGGGAGTGCAGTAGATAGTGGTGACAGCGGTGCTGTTGACGTCTTCCAAGTGTTGCTCGACGCCAGCCACGGCACCGCAGAGGTGAGGATGGAGACAGGGCTGACCAGAGGACAGGGTTGACCTGTGGCAGTTTGTGTTTGCTTTTTGTCTCACTGTTAGGTATATGCACGTCACGTTCACTCAACCAATGCATGTGTGTACGCATGCATGCGTGTGAGAGTGTCTCTGTGTGTGTGCTTGCATGCATGCGTGTGAGAGTGTCTCTGTGTGTGTGCTTGCATGCATGCGTGTGAGAGTGCTCTGTGTGTGTGCTTGCATGCATGCGTGTGAGAGTGTCTCTCTGTGTGTGCTTGCATGCATGCATGTGAGAGTATCTCTGTGTGTGTGCTTGCATGCATGCATGTGAGAGTGTCTCTGTGTGTGTGCTTGCATGCATGTGTGTGAGAGTGTCTCTCTGTGTGTGCTTGCATGCATATCTGTGAGAGTGTCTCTGTGTGTGGGCTTGCATGTGTTCACCAATTCTGCGTGTGTGTGCGTGTGCATGTGCATATATGCGTGTATGCATGCCGACGCCTGTGCATGCCCGCAACGGCATGTGCCCAACATTGGCAGGTGCTTGTGGAGCTGCCTCTCCGTGCGCACTCAGGCTCACAGCCCTTTTTTAAGGCGCCAAAAAAATATACCCCACTGACTGCTTGTGCCCCGCATTGGCTTGGCAGGTGCTTGTGGAGCTGCCTCTCCGTGCGCACTCAGGCTCACAGCCCCGGTGGGTGCTGGTAAAGCTGCTCCTCACTGTCGCCGACCAAGCGCCCAATCGCCTCCTCGTTCGTGTGCCTGCTGGATAAAACTCAAGTGTCAGATGTTCTTGATATTTGCCCGTGCAGCTTAATTTGTGTAATATAGAGTACAGAAGTACCGTGTACGATATCAACGCCTTTTATCAAATGGATCGTCGGGGATGGTTTGGTGCTTTCATTTCCAAAAGAGGCCCTGTTCTAACAGACAGAAATGGTCTAGTCTCATATACACACTGGCTTTTTAGGTCTTGGCCCGAATGATCAGACATATTTTCTTGTACCGTATTATTTTTTACGAATTGTAACAAGTCTGTATCACATTGAAGTTATGACTTGTCAATGTTGTATCAAATTAGGGTGTTTCTAAATCTGAGTGCCCAATCCGTTGTCAGATTACAATTGTATCTCTAGGCTACAGTAGGGTCACTCCTTAGTGAGTACAACACTTTAGGGTTTGGTTTCCCCTTCTTGTACTCACCTCTTGCCTAGTTCAATCCATCATTTCCTAGTTCTATTCTTGACATGTTATCAGAGTAGGAACCGTTCCTACATGGGCCCACCGTTCCGCCTAGTGGTAGCGCCACGCCCTACACAGTAGCCAGCGCGCTGTCGCGACCCTTGCAGCCATTGCGCTGCCCCTGCGACCGCGCTGCCCCTGCAGCCGTGCTGCCCCTGCAGCCGTGCTCGCCCCTGCTACCGTGCTGCCCCTGCAGCCGCGCCTGCCCCTGTGGCCCGCGCGCTGCTCCTGCAGCCCGTACGCTGCCCCTGCAGCCCGTTCACGCTGCCCCTGCAGCCCGTTCACACTGCCCCTGCAGCCCGTTCACGCTGCCCCTGCAGCCCGTTCACGCTGCCTCTGCAGCCCGTCCGCGCGGCCCCTGCAGCCCGCGCGTCGCCCCTGGAGCCCGCGCGCCGCCTCTGCAGCCCGTCCTCGCGGACCCTGCAGCCCGCGCGTCGCCCCTGGAGCCCGCGCGCCGCCTCTGCAGCCCGTCCTCGCGGACCCTGCAGCCCGCGCGTCGCCCCTGGAGCCCGCGCGCCGCCTCTGCAGCCCGTCCGCGCGGCCCCTGCAGCCCGTACGAGCTGCCCTTGCAGCCAGCGCAGCGCCCCTGCAGCCCGCGCGTCCTGCCCCTGCAGCCCGCGCCCTAACGCAGCCCACGAGTCGCGCGCTGCTGCCTCGCGCGTTGCGCTCTGCTGCAGCCCGCGCGTCGCGCCCTAAGGCAGCCCGTCGCGTCGCGCTCTGCTGCCCCTCGCGTCACACACTGCTGCAGCCTACGCCAGCGCCCTGCCCTGCGCGCGCTGGCGCCCTGCCCTGCGCCAGCGCCCTGCCCTGCGCCCGCGCCCTGCCCTGCGCCAGCACCCTGCCCTGCGCCAGCGCCCCGCTATAAATAAATTGTAAAAAAAAAAAAAAAAAAAAAAAAAAAAAGGACCCTAGGTGCTTCTGCCCTAGGAGCTACTGCCTACTACTGCCCTGCTCTGGCCGCGCGCCGCCCTGCTGCTGTTACTACTGCTGCTGCTGCTACTCGTGCTACTGGGAGTGGAGGAGGTGCTGCTGGGAGTGCAGGAGGTGCTGCTGGCGCTGTAGGAGCTGCTCCTGACCGTCACTGTCTGTCATGGCCACTTCCGCGGCAGTTGCTGCGGCCAGGGGTGGACAGCAGCGGGCACTGCTTCTCCCGGACGAACCCACCCCTCGGCAGCTTCGTGAGTGGGTTATTCAGCGAGGTCGTCCTGGTGGTGGAGGTTATCGTTCTGTTAGGACTGCTGCTCTTGGTGTTAGTGAGTCTGCTGCCGCTCCAGGTGCTAGTGAGTCTGCTGCAGCTCTAGGTGCCCGTGAGTCTACCGACGCTCTAGGTGCTAGTGCGTCTACTACCACAGGTCCTGCCTCAGCTGAGGTCTTGCACACTTCCACACTTGACTCAGGCGCGTCACGTTGCTTCTTCCGTGATTGCACCACAGTCACACCACTCACAGCACCTGTCCCAGTCTCACTGGCTGACCCCTCTTGGGGCCCAGTGGTTGCGAGAGCCTCCACGGTCCTCCCTTGTCCAGCAGTCCCCTCCGGCTCTTTGTCAGGTCTCCACCTCCCCACGTTCTCGACGAACTTGGTGAGCAACGCTGCCATTCAGGATGTCTGGGTTGATACCTTTATTCCTGGAGGGCAGCGTGTGGCGATCTGTACGTGCTCCCGGACTGGCCGTCACCTGGCTACGTTCACTTGTCTGCCTGGGTCTAGTCTGTACACACTGACCACTGCGTCTGCACAGGTGGCTGAGTCAGGTCAGGTAGCTGCGTCGAGTCGAGCGTCTGCGTCAGGGCAGTTAGCTGCGTCTTGCTCGTACTCACGCACGAGACGCAGCGCTGGCACCACCGTCTTGGTCACCCCTCCCTGCAGCGTCTGCGCGGCATGCACTCCCGGCTCCTGGTCTCTGGCCTCCCTGAGACCCTGCCCCCCCTCCCGCGCTCACTTGCGCCGCCGTGCCTTCCTTGCGTCGAGGGGCGGCAGCGCGCCGCTCCTCACTCCTCCGAGTTTCCTCCGACCACTGCTCCTCTGCAGACTCTCCACCTGGACGTGTGGGGCCCGGCCCCCGTCGGTGGGACGGACCAGGAGCGCTACTTCCTGCTGGTTGTTGACGACTACACACGCTACACCACAGTCTTCCCCTTGCGTCGCAAGGCGGACGTCAGCGGTGTTTTGATCCCCTGGATCCGTGCTACTCGTCTCCAGCTACACGAGCGCTTTCATCAGGACTTCCGAGTCCTGCGTCTGCACTCTGACAGGGGTGGTGAGTTCTCTTCTGGAGTCTTTGAGACGTTCTGCCAGGATGAGGGCATCGCCCAGTCGTTCACGCTTCCGGCCTCTCCGCAGCAAAATGGGATCGCTGAGCGTCGCATTGGCCTGATCATGGAGGTTGCTCGTACCTCCATGATCCATGCGGCTGCTCCCCATTTCCTGTGGCCGTTTGCGGTCCGATATGCCGTGCATCAGCTCAACCTCTGGCCCCGTGTCTCTGCTCCAGAGACCTCGCCCACACTTCGTTGGACGGGACAGCCTGGTGATGTGTCGTCGTTTCGGGTCTGGGGCGCGCTCTCCCTTGTTCGCGATACCAAAGCGAGCAAGCTCTCTCCTGGCACTCTCCGCTGTGTCTTCCTGGGCTTCCCCACCGACGCTCCACCCTGGCAGTTTTACCACCCTGCCTCGCGTTGTGTTCTGTCCTCTCAGGACGTCACCTTCGACGAGTCGGTCTGTTACTACCGACTTCACCCGCACGCGTCCCACCCGGTCCCCCTTGCACCCCTCTTCCTGGTACCAGTCCCCCCCCCGGTAGACCCCCTCCCCCCACAGGGTCCTGCTCCCTCAGGTGTGTCCCAGGTAAACCCACCCCCCTTGGATGAGCCAGTTGAGATCTCTTCTGACTCCTCTGACTCACCTGAGGGGGGTGACGCCGTCGCCGACGACACGGCGACCACTCGCCACACTCCTCGCTTGGCGACCCCCCCGGGTTTCCCGCCACGACCGTTTTCGCCGCCTCCGCAGCCTGCTGCTGTGGACTCTGGAGCTGAGACTACTGGAGCTGGGGCTGGGGGTGGTGAGTCTGGGGGTGCCCGCTCTCCTCGTTTGGCTACCCCCCCCGGGTTCCCACCTCTGCCGTCTTCGCCGCCTCTGCAGCCTACTGCTGTGGACACTGGAGCAGAGACTGAGGGTGCTGGGACTGAGGGTGCTGGGACTGAGGGTACTGAGCCTGAGGGTGCTGGGACTGAGGGTGCTGGGACTGAGGGTACTGAGCCTGAGGTGTTAGAATGTTGAAGTGAACGAGAATGGATGAACTAGCAGAAAGTTGGGTACAAGTAGGAAACCCTAAGTTTGTTGTATCCCCTAAGGCTAAACCCACTATAGCCTACACAATGTAAACATATAATGTTTGACACACCCCCATAGGCTAAGTGGGGGAGAGCAAGGGGTCACAAGACCAGTCAAAGCAAGGCAAAGCAAAACAAGCTCAGGGTGGATCTCAAGGATACCACACAAATTCCGAGCACAAGCAAGTGGTCACAAGACCAGTTCACATGCAGTTTGATAATAGAACAAGAGGTACAGTGATCACAACCTAGCAAGTGTAAACATGCAGGTATATATATAGAGATCACAGTACAAGCAGAGTCAAGAAGTGAGCAAGTGAGGGAGAGTAGGCACAAGGCCTAGAACAGTACAGAAACGCTGATGATCACAAGGCTGAAGCGCCTTGGTGAACACATCAGCAGTGTTGGCCCGAGTGGCCACGTACGAGAGACGAAGCTGACCACGCTGCTGCAGCTCTCGAGCAAGGAAGTAGCGCAGAGCGATGTGCTTCGTTCTGTGCTCCAGTCTGTGCTCCTGACACAAGGCAATGGCTGCCTTGTTGTCGACGTACAGTACTGGAGGAGAACGAGGCCGCTCTCCGAGGTCGGTCAGCAGGTAGGTGAGCCAGCGTAGCTCCTGGGCAGCCATGGCTGTGGCGTAGATCTCAGCCTCACAACTAGAGCTGAGAACAGAGGAAGAGCGTGTAGAACGCCAGGAAACAGAGCCAGAGCCAAGGCTGAAGGTGTAACCCTGAGACGACCGCTGCGTATCCTGGTCGTCAGCCCAGGAAGCGTCTGATTGTCCAGTGAGGACAACGTCGCACCGTCCTCCAAGCACAAGCCCATGCCCGACGTACTGCACAAGTAGCGCAACACCCTCTTAGCGGCATCCATGTGCTCCTTCCGGTGACGGCCAGGAGCGACATAGCGTGCTAGGATGCTAAGAGGGTATGCAAGGCCAGGTCGAGTGCAGGTCATCAGGTACATGAGGCAGCCCACAAGCTCTGGATACGGGCCACTCGGCTCTACGGACTCATCCGAAGGCAGAGCTGAGAGCGAGTGACCGGTAGGCAGAGGAGTGGGTTTAGGAGGCGAGGAGTACGTGAAGCGGAAGCGCTGAAGGACCTGCTGCACCATGTGTGACTGAGTCAAGGTAATGGTGCGCTGTGCTCTGTCCCGGGTGATCCGCAAGCCAAGATAGCTTGTCAGCTCACCCA